TTTGATGTCCAGTGAATTTAGTGGCATAGGCTGATGGCGGGGGTAGGTAGGGGCGTTCTTTCCTTCCCTTCCCTTCCTCCCTTATTTTCTTCCTTTCTTTTTTCCTTTTCTGTCACTCTTCCTTTTCCTCTTTCCCTTCCCTTCCCCCTTTATATTAATTTTCCTTTGCCTCCCTTCCTCTTCTTTTTCCTATCCTTCTCTTCCCCTCCCTTTCTTCCCCCTCCCTTCCCTTTCCTCCTTCTCTTTCTTCTTCCTTTTTCCTTCTTCCTTTTTTTTTTTTTTGGCCACACTGAAAATTGAACTTAAGACTTCCCAACGAATGCCATATCCCCATCCCTATTGTTTTTTATTTTGTTTTTGAGACAAAGTCTTAAAAATAAGTCCCTTTTTTGGCCTTGAACTCCTTGTCCTCCTGCTTCTGCCTTCCAAGTAACTAGGATGACAGATGTACACCACTACGCTTGACTTGTTCTTGTTTTTCTTCTAACACTTTAAATATTTCAGTCGTTTTCTTCTTGGTCTCATGTTTTGAATGAGAAATCCATTGTAATTTTTAGGTTTGTTCCCTTGCAGGGGTGGGGAACCTTTTTATGCCAACGGCCATTTGGCAGCATGTTTATGTTGCTATGAAAAAGCTTCTAGATTTATTCACTTGCTGGCTTTGGCAGGAACAAGACCAGAGCAAATGATTTCATAGGCCTTATATAGCCTACTGGCCAGAAGTTCACTGTATAAGGTAGCGAGTGGCATAGTAACTTTTTAATTTTACATGCTACATTGTTTTCCTGTTTTTTTTTACTCTGTCATATTGGTGTATGGATTATAATATTTAAGAACTGATTTACTCCAGACTAAGAAGGCATCATGAGCTCTACGTGTTTCACTACTATAAGCAATTTTGAGCTGGGCCTGGAGTCCTCAGGCCACATAAGAGACCCATCTCAAAATCCAAACAAAAAAACAAACAAGAAGTACCATTTTGTAGTACATTTTTATGATCTGTGTATTTCTACAGTTTTCTGGAAGATGGTACATGAAAGAGTAGGCATGATACTTTTCTTATCAACAATATACATCTTCATTTTTCATATTTACCTGTATATAGTTTACAAATCATGTTTTTGCCTAACTGATAAGTAAAATTTTATATTATTTCTATTTGCATTTTTTTATTTCTAGTGTGTTAGGCACTACTTTTACTGTGTGTAGTCTGTGTGTTCTATATAAGAGTTGCATAGATATTCGGGGTCCTAAATAGAGGGCTGCGATTAGTTGCTTTGTCTTTTTCTGGTTATTTTTAGGAATAAATTTGTCCTTTGTTTCCCTTCTGAAAAGAATTTTATCATCAACTGTAATTATCCATGTGTAAATACCTATTGAAAGTTGTATAGGGCCAGGAGAGCAGAGTGAAGTTTCAGAGTGAATGGCCTGAACTAGAAGTTCAAAACCCTGATTAATTATCATTTGATTAGTTATAATTTGGTGAAACTGTAAGACTTACCTTAGTTATGCGAGCTATTTATTTCTTCCCTCTTGAAAATAATAAGTTACTTAGAAATCTATTTTTAAGTGTTTCGTTGGGCCATTTCATGGCCACCAGTTACTTTACAGATATATTTTAAACTAGAGTATTTACTTGGTCTTTATGCTTCTGAAATTTAAATGGAAACTATTTAAAGTCTTTAAGATGGGAAAGTTTAGAGTGGCTTTATAAGATTAGCTTAAAGAGTATTATCTGGGTTTATTGCTGTTATTATAAATTGCTATTTAAATACTTCCCTATTGGCACTGTTTTCTTGTGAAAAAGATGGGGTTTAGTATTACAAAGTAGAAATCTAGGTTTAAAAAAGTATAGATTATTTTTTAAAGATGCCTTAATAGTACAGGAGTTTCCTTGTAATAATTCCATGGATGCCTATAGTATACTTTGAACAAGCTCCCCTCTATTTCCTTAATTCCTCCCACTCCCTATTTCAAATAGTGTTTGGTAGGTTCATTATGCTGGGTGTGTGTGTGTGTGTGTGTGTGTCTGTGTGTCTGTGTGTGTCTGTGTGTGTGTGTGTGTGTCTGTGTGTAAAACTTCTGAATAGAAGTAAAACTTCTGAATAGAAGTGACATTTATTGAAGGTGAGTGGTATGCTTAGCACCTTAAAGTAATTGTGATATTTATACTTCCGAGAAAGGCCATGAAAAAATGTAAAGTTCATTATTTTCACTACAGCTGATGAATGTCATATAGTTTTGTGTGTTTTAAAACTAAAATAGATTATCTCAAAATTTAACAATTTCTTTTCATATTCTGATCATTCCTGGATGCTAAATAATCATGTTAACTAGAGCACAGGTTTCTAAGGATTTTGAAATTTAAAATAGATGCATTAGTATGATGAGCCAGCTAGTGACGCTCCTGTACCAGGACTGAAAGGACCAGATTTTCATGTAAGGTTTTTTTTCACTCTGAGACTTTGAGTGATGTGTTCTTGTGCTAGGGACTTTTGTTAAAGATTGGAAACAATTCCTCTTACAATAGCAACAAATAGAAGCTAATTCTTAAAAGTAAGCTTAAAGAAGTGAAAAAGACTCATACACAAAATTATAAAAAAAATGGATGAAGGAAATTTATAGGTTATGTTCATGGATTGATATAATATTCAGATGTCCTTATTACTTAAAGTGATCTACAGATCCAATAAAATCTTTATCAAAGTCTCAACAGTATTATTCTTTACCAGAAATAAACAAACAAACAAAAAAAACAAGCTAGGAGTGGTGCTGTGCACTTATATTCCCAGTCATGTGAGAAGCGGAAGTAGCTAGCCTGAGCACCATAGGAAGACCATGACTCTGCCTGCCTGCCTGTCTGCCTGTCTGTGTCTTTCACTGTTGAAAAAAAAAATATATATATATAATGTGTGTGATATTTGTGTGTGCATACATACATATGAGTATGTTAAAATACATTTCAAAGAATGAGCATGTTGGACTTCGGATAGCTTTAAATTGAACACATTTGTTTTTCCTTTTGGTGCTGGTCCTAGGGCATGAACTCAGGGCCTAGGCACTGTCCCTGAGGTTTTTTACTCGAGGCTAGTCTCCTACCACTTGAACCACAGTTCCACTTCTGGCTAGTTTGGTAGTTAATTGGAGATAAAAGTCTTATGAAGCCCGGCACCAGTGGCTCATACCTGTAATCTTAGCTACTCAGGAGGCTGAGATCTGAGAATCGCCATTCGAAGCCGGTCTGAGTAGGAAAGGTCATGAGCTCTTATCTCCAATAAACTACCAGAAAATCAGAAGTGATGCTGTGGCTCAAGTGGTAGAGCACTAGCCTTGAGCTGAAGAGCTGAGGGACAGCGCCCAGGCCCAGAGTTCAAGCCCCAAGACTGACCCTCCCCCCCAAAAAAAAAGTCTTATGAGCTTTTCTGTCCAGGTTGGCTTTCACCTGAGCTCTTCAACATCTCAGTCTACTTAGTACCTAGAATTATAGTGAACCACTGGTACCTGGCTGACTTATTTTGTAGCTAACTATCCTCAGCCCTTTCTTTGTGTATACACCTAAGCACTCTTTCCTGCAGCCAAATAAATACTTGAGTCCTGTTTGCCCAGTAGTTACTCAGATCAGACGGTCTAACAATATAACTAGGCAGATTGTTTCTTTTTTCCTGTCACTGGCTCGAGTGCATAAACTTAGACCTGGTACTCAAAATTCTTAAGGACAAGTATAGTTTAGGGAGCTTGGTTTTATTGTTTTAAAAAGCAACAAGATATTTAATAATTCATACTCAATGCATTAGTCTTTCATTTCTCAAATGGCATGCTAGCTTACATGATTATACAAGAAAAAACTAAAAACCAGTCTCAGATTTGGTTTCGTTTTTACACATTAAAAAGCAAATTGTTTTTCATCTGCTTCTCTATAGCCATGCTTTCTCAGCCTTCCTGGTTCTTTTTGTAAGACATCCTGTTTTTGTGTATAGAATTAGCTAATTTCTAGCACAGTACAAGTTGAAAAGGGCGAATGATATTTTCTGAAAGTCTTGTAGTGTTGATTCCGTATATATTTAAACTTGGTGGTTAGTTTCTCAACTGAAGCTCCCACAAGAGTGCATTTTATATTATGGGTCGTTACTTACTCAAGCACTGCTGTCTAATATGCTTCTGGGCATAGTAGCTATCCTTACCATGTGAGATTCAGCATCTCCTATGCTATTTCCTTTAGATGCTGTTTAACATTAAGTTGTAAATGAAGTAACAAAAGGTTTCAAACTACAGTTTGAACAAGTGGTCTTTTTTGTTGTCATTTTATTGTTGACTATTTCTATGATGTATTATGATATCATTTAATTTACATGGGTTCAAACTATAACAAACATTACATATTCAAAAGTTTTTTAAAATTTTGTTATTATTACGTATTCAACATGTAATTAATCATCTATAAAAATTTAAATAAGGGGAGGGGAGATGGGAAGGAATGGGAAGGGGAAACAGAGGAGGAAGCAACAATGCTTGATAAGAAATGTACTCATTACCTTGCCCATGTAATTGTCACCCCTCTATATGGTATTTTCACAATAAAAAAAAATTAAAAAATTTAAATAAGAAAACTTTTGAGGGTTTGTTTTTTTTGTTTTGGGATGTTTTGAAGTTTGGGAAAACTTTTTTCTTCTTTATATGTATGCTTAACTATTATAAGCAAATACTAGTAAGATATTGGATCTTATTAGTTGAATTTTTTGATCTGTTAACTTAATTAGAAACATTTCATTACTTTCCTACTAATGCTTTGTATTTTATACCAATCTAGTAGCATTAGCAGGAGCTTTTTAAGTTCTACAATTTGTAATTTGGCAGTCAAGGAGGTTTGGCTCTCTCTTTTCTGTTTAAAGAAGTAGACAGACTTGTCTATGTTTAGAACTGTTGATAAGCTCTTGCATGTATGCTTGACCTAGTCAAGGTGATAGCATTTTGACTCCTCATGCCTCCACATCCTCCTACAGAACTAGAAGTGTTTATCACCAATCAGCCAAGATGAACATGGTGAAGAGGATCATGGGGCGGCCGAGGCAGGAGGAGTGCAGCCCACAGGACAATGCTCTGGGACTGATGCACCTGAGGCGGCTCTTCACCGAGTTGTGCCATCCTCCTCGACACATGACTCAGAAGGAACAAGAAGAGAAGCTGTACATGATGCTGCCAGTATTTAACAGGGTAAGTCCAGGATGCCCCACACATGCCATCTAGGATTGGTGGTCCCAAAGGAATCTAAATAATTGGTTACAGATGCAAAATGAGGATGAATTAGGTTTTTTTTTTTTTCAAGCTAAATGTGTTCATTCATTTAAAAAAGTATTTGCTATAATCCACACATGGTGGTGCGTGTCTAAGCCTGACACTTGAGAAACTGAAATAGGAAATTTAGACTTGAAAACCACAGAACGTCACATAGGGAGACAACACAGAAAAAATAATTACTCCAAAGCAATATGATTTTGTGTGAAAGATGGTCAGAATTAAGTTTGTTAATATGTCTGCTTCAATTCTAACATATAAAAAGATGATTGAGCTTTTGTAAAATGCTCCTACAATGGTTGGAGAAGGGAAGATTGGAAATGACCATTTCATGTCTGTTGTCTTTTACTGATGGGCTTATTGTACCAAATAGTGCCATTACTTGGCTCTTTGTGTACTTAAAAAAACATTTCAGGATCCTTTGCTGACATATTTGCTGTGACATAGAATCTAAATAGGGATCATCTTTTAATGCATTTTGTTGAGTCTGTGTAACAAGCGTGTGGGACCTTTTAAAAAAATGCCCTTTTTTATATTGATCAAAGGTTTCTAAGTACGTAGTTTTAAAAAGTCAAGTAGTTCCACAGGCGTGTAGGAACCCTACTGCTCTTCACAACTAATTGCTGCTGCCGCAAAACCTTTTAAACAACGCATTTTTACTTGTTTCCTCATTATTCCCTTTTAATTGACTTCCTACTGAGAAAGATGAGAACTCAAGGTTTGACTTTTTCTTTACAGACCTTAGCGTACATCCTTACATGCCTCATATGCACTGCTCTTCTTGTCTTCTCTATCGTTGTGCCATTTGTGTAAACAGCACTCAGTGCCCAGTCTCCTGACTGTGGTGTAAATATTACTCATGCTTGGCCTTTGCATTTATTGCTATTATATTCCACCATTACAGAACTGCTTCAGTTTCAGATTTTCTCCCCATGTCCCCTCTTGTATCACCTCCTTTTTCTCTTCTCTCTTCTTTTTTTCTTAGTTCTCTCCCTTGCCTTTCAACTACAGCTTTTTAGGCAAAGGGTACCTAAAATATGTGTTCTCATCTGCCCATTCCCCACAGACACGCACTAGTAATGCAGAACCAGTGCCCCTCATTGAATCTGCCCCCTAAACTTTTCTTAGCTACTAGTGAAAATAATCATTAATTTTTCCAAATTAGAAATGGAGACAGTCTTTTCTGGAGGCCTTCTACTCTTACTTTTGAAACTGCTTTATCCAGTTTCAGCTTAGAATAGGGCATGCAAACCCGGCATGGATGCCTACCCATTTCTACCTTGTCCTCCTCAATGCAAGATCTACTTCCTGGATGCCTAATAATCATCTCAGGTTGGCTTTTGTCGTGATTTGTGCTTTAATTTCACTACTTTCTAGTCTCCATTTATCCCTAATCTGGCCATTGATTATCTTTTGTGGTTTCAAGAATCCATCACATTCTTTTTTTTTCCTTTTTGTTGATTTAAAGGCTTGAACTCAGGGCCTGTACACTTTCCCTGCGCACTTTCTCTTTGTGCTCATGGCTAGCGTTCTACCACTTGAGCCACAGTGCCACTTCCGGTTATTGAAGATGAGTCTTCTGGGACTTTTCTGCCCAGGCTGGCTTCAAATCTTGATCCTCAGATCTCAGCCTACTGTGTAGCTAGGATTATAGGTGCCTAGAACCATTACATTCTTAAAGAAGACTTTTTCCCCCCGATTCCCTGATCCCCACAGACTCCTAAACAAATATCTGCTGTGGGGCTACAGTAATCACCTGTGTCCCTCCATTTGTTCTTACTGTGTATCTGTTCCTGTGTTTATATCATTCACAACAGAACCTCATGATTCTTCAGCTTTACAACATCAGAGGCTGCATCTCATCTCTATGCATAGTACAGCATAGGTCATCATGTGCATATGACAATGTGCGTAAACAAGTAGACTGAATGAATCTGTTAAAACTAACTGAAAGATTGTAGTTGAAACCTTCAAAGGGCAGAAGACGTTACTCATGCTTATAGTGCCAGGTGAGGAAAGCAGCAGTTTAGAGATAAGACTTGAAGAATATGCATGCTAAAAGAAAGAAGAGAAGCTGTACAGAACAGAAGGCTCAGTGATAGAACAGAAATAATCAGGAGAGTTGGTGTTAAAGAACCAGAGAGATAAAGTTTCGGGAAAAGAATAATCAGCATTATTATGTACAATAGAGAGAGTCAGAAAGATGAGGACCAAAAAATATTCTTAAGGTTTGTCAGTTAGGAAATCTCTAGATTGGATTAGCTAGAAAACAGTGGATGGGACATGAAAGGAGGCAGTGGTTTTTATTAAACTTAGGACAGTTTGAAATAAAGTAGAACAAACAGGATAGATGAGATTGTCTTAGCCTGTTTGGTGCTGCTATATAACAATATACTTGAGGTTAAATACTTTATAAACAAAAGAGGTTGGAAGTTACAGACAGAATCTAAGTGTTGACCTTGAAAAGCCACCCTAGGTATGTCACAGCATGATGGAAAGGCTAAAAGCGAAGGAGCTGGGGACAGAAGGAGCCAAAGTACATGTAGTTACCTCACTTGATAAAAACACTCTGTTCTAAAAACTAGTCCACTCTGATGAGATCTGATCCACTCTCAAAAAGACAGCATTAATGCATTCATGAGGGAATAGGCACTGTGACATGATGACCTTCCTTTAGATCCCACCTCTTGGACTTCCACCACCTCAACAGCACCACACTGGGGAATAAGCCTTCCAGAACACAGAACATGAGTGTCTGGGGCAAGCATAGCCAAGCTAGTGTGTGTGTGTGTGTGTGTGTGTGTCTGTGTGTGTGTCTGTGTGTGTGTCTGTGTGTGTGTCTGTGTGTCTGTGTGTGTCTGTGTGTGTGTGTCTGTCTGTGTCTGTCTGTGTGTCTGTCTGTGTGTCTGTGTGTGTGTCTGTGTGATATGTTTTGTTTTTAAAGATGGGAGAGGATTCAAGCATGTCTCTAAAATGAAAAAAAGAAACCATTAAATAAGAGAACTTTGGAGACTTTGAGGAGACATTGAAATTAGACAAAGGGATGAGGGGGCATGGAGTCTTAATTATAGGTGGACAAGTGAGCTGTGGAAAGGAGAAAAGCATTCCTGTGGGAAATGGCTTGCACTGAATATGGAAATACATTTGTAGTACTGCTAGGTACTGGGGGAAGATCTTGATCTTTGATTCATGTTGACATCAATCAATGACACCCTCTTAATGATCTGGAGTAAGTAGATGGCACAAGAAGCTTTAAGAAATTTAGGAATAAGGAGTTGGCCTTATGCTTACTAGGCAGGTGCTGTAGATGAGCCACATCTTCAGCCCTTTTTTTGTTCACATTATTTTTTTGAATAGTATCTCACTTTTTGCTTGGGGCCAGACTGGACTTGATCTTTCTATTTAGGCTCTCCAAATTGCTGGGCTGGCAGGTGTATACCACACAGTGCTATTGATTGAGATGAGGTCTTGCATGTATTTTGACCAAACTGGCCTCAAACCATGGTCCTTCTGATATTTGCCCCTTGAGTAACTAGGATAACAGATATGAGACTCCATACCTAGTTGTAAATTTTGATAGTTTAGGATTTGTATAAAAGGAGAGAGAAGAGCTGATGGGCATTGAGAATCTAATTTATCACTGAGGTGATAAATTTGTTCTTGATCTTAACCGAACAGTGCTGTTATGGAAGTAGAAAAGGGATATGCCCAATTTATTGGGACTGAGGTTTTGCTGGACAATCAAGAAAATGGCTGAGTGGAAGGGGGAAGAATTAGTTGACATGGGAGAGATGATAGAATAAGAGTATGAAAGAAGGTAAGAAAAGGTTTAAAGTAACTTAAAAGCAGACAAAACTGAACAGGATACTATTTTAAATTGTGTTTATATCAGTCAATTTTTATTGGAATTGTTTCTAGAATTTTTTTAGCATTTATTTTTAAAAATTTATTGTAAAGACGATGAACAGGGGGTTATAGTTACATAGAAAGGTAATGAGTACATTTTGGAAACAAGAGGTTCTTATATGCTGTATGCAGTTATTTCTATTTTTTCTGTTTTAGTTTTCTGTACCCTTTGTCTTATATATGAACTTATCTGATCTGTGGAAAGGAAAGGGAATCACAGAAACAGCAGGACAAAGGATGAACTAATGCAACAATGATACTAGACATAATATTGGAAATGAACTTAACAACTTGGGGGGGCTGGGTAGTGGAGTATGGTAAGCAGGAGAAAATGAGGGAGGGGCTAACACTGTTTAAAAAGAAGTGTTTCTAGAATTTTTCCAGGTTTTTTTGCTTGTTGTTTATTGTTTTGTGAGGAGTGTGTGTGTGTACACATGTGTGTATATGTATGTGTATGTGTACGTGTGTATGTTTGTGTACCTGAGTGTCAGTCCTGAGGCTTAAACTCAAGGCCTGAGGACTGTCCCTGAGCTTTTTGGCTCAAGGCTAGCACTCTACTACTAAGAGTCACAGCATCACTTCTGGGTTTCTGGTAGTTAATTGGAGATAATAGTCTCATGGATTTTCTTGCGTAGGCTGGCTTCAAATTGTGATCCTTGGATTTTATCCTCCTGAATAGCTGTGAGCCATTGGTGCTCAACAACTTCTGACGTTTTATTAGAGAGATAAGGGTCTATGGACTTTCCTTCCTGGGCTGGCTTTGAACCAAGAATCTCTCAGATCTTAGCCTCCTAAGCCGCTAGGATTACAGAAGTGAGCCACCAGCACCTGGCTTCCAGTAGTTGTACAAATGAGTTATTTACCATTCAAAGAGCACTATATGACTACAATGAATCTTGGTCAACGTAACCTCTGACCTCATTCTCCCTATCTCTTATAGTTGCTATTCTGTTTAGTTTTTAGTCTTTTTAAAAAAAGTGTCATGAGCCAGGTGCTGGTGGCTCACGCCTGTA